CCCTGCATCCTGCCGCAGGCAGGTCTTGCTCGGGCACGGACGCCTTCCTCCTCCAGCTCCTACGGCTCAGCCGCACTCACTGCGCCTGGTTTTTTGCTGCAGCAGAGTACAACTAATAATTATCGAAGCCTCTCTCCCACCATAGAAATAAAATATGGCATGGAATCACAGCACAGCTACTCCATTGAGAGCGCTGCTCAACTGAGTAATGCCAATAATTCAAAACAGATGAGCCAAAGGCTGGAGCACTATAGACTCAGTATCCCGCTCTGCCCTGACCCCTGGAACTCGCTGAAAGTTACCTTGAGACTCGCCAGAGCTCTTTGTAACTTCTGTGAGGGTTATTTATTGCAAAGTCATAAATATTTGTTATGGATTTTCTCCATCAATCTACAAAATGAATTAGGTTAGAAAAAATTTATGTTCTTGGATTTTGGGCATGTGTTTCTCAGGCAGGGGAGAAAAAGTGGGATCTCCATTGTGCAGAGGACGGGCTGCTGCAGAGCTTTGGGCTCTGCTGCCTGCGTTAATTAATTCCCTTCTGCAAATGGTTTAAAATGCTCAGTACAGTTCAGAAGGGGGGGAGGGAGGGAAGAGGTTCTTCTTTAAATCTCTCTTAAAATCTTCCATAAAATTATTTATGGGGGAAGGAAAAGTCTATTTCCCTCTCCTCCCTCCCGGATGCCCTGCCAGCCCATTAAAAACCTGAGATTCAGGGGCTGTTGTGCCCCAGAAAATCAACCTCGAGCCAACGTCTCCCAGTCGCCGTCAGAAGCCGTCACCGGCACCCGCTGGGTGCGACAGGGACGGAGGAGAGCCCGCCCCGCAGCACTGCTGCCCTGCGGCAAAGCCACCGCATTTCCCACCCCTTGAGGAGAGGATGGGAGCAGCGCTCTTCCTGCCCTGCAGGCACTTTTCTGGCAAATTAAAAAGTTTTTATTCAGGAAAGCTCTGAAGCAAGACCATAACCTCAAGGATGCTCCAGAGCTCCCTGGGGCGGTAGGGTTCAGGCACCGGTGGATGTTCCACCCGGGTGGCGGAGCGGGGTCCCGCAGGACATGGGGTCCCCTGGCCCTGCCCTGGGGAAGCTGGGGGCAGCAGGACCAGGGGAGAGGACGGGTGTGGGGGGGTCCTTCGTGCTCCTGCTCCCGCCGGGCTGCAGAGAGCGGCTGAAGGCGCCGTCGCCCTCTGCGGCGGCTCCTCCACCTCCAGGGCCTGGCGCGGTTGCCGGTGCTGTGGCATCCTCTGCACCAGCTTCCAGCGGCACAAAGCATCTGCCCTTTTGGGGGGTCTGTTGCTTCTGCATGGCCGCCCCCGCAGCCCCGGAGATCCTGGCTTTAGCAACAAAATGGCAGCCGCCACGTACCAGAGCTGCTTTTTCACGTGCTAATTTGAAGCGAAATACATTTTTTTTTGTCTTCGGGACTCAGGGGCTGTGTTTCTTCTTTGCATTAGTTTTACAGGAACCCCAGAAAATCCCAGAAGACCCCACAGGATCCCACAAATCATGCCGACACTTTTAAGCTGTTTGCACTCGGGCTAATGAGCTGCTATTTTAAGAGGTTATTGCTAACAATTAAATCTGACTGCTTTCTTTTTGTTGTTGTTTTAAAATTGTTTGTAACAGCTGTGCCTGTCCCCTATGCAATTTCAACAAGCCCAGGACAGGACCTGCCCCAGTTCCCCGTGCTGGCTTTTCCCAGTCCCCACATCACCCAGTGGCTGTGAACAGGGACTAGGATGGGGAACGGGTACTTCACTGCAGGAGCGACCCAGGCAGGATGGAAGTTGGCTAAATGCTTCTGCAGGCTGTGTTTCTCCCGGGGCACGGCTCATAGAGGGATGACAGCGGGGAACGCGGCCCTGCTTGCCTTCTGGGTCGCCTTTTCCAAACTGCCCTCACCGTCTCTCCTGCCCTCCTTCTGCCGTTGCTCTGTGGCGATTCACAGAATCCCAGAGTGGTCGGGGTCGGAAGAGACCTCTGGAGCTCCCCCAGTCCAGAGCAGGGTCACCCACAGCAGGTCGCACAGGACGGCGTCCAGGCGGGTTTGAACATCTCCAGAGAAGGAGACTCCACACTCTCTGGGCAGCCTCTGCCCGTGCTCTGCCGCCCTCAGGGAAATAAGTTTTTCCTCATGTTCAGATGGAATTTCCCGTGTTCCAGTTTGTGCCCGTTGCCCCTTGTCCTGTTGCTGGGCACCACTGGAAAGTCTGGCCCCATCCTCTTGCCGCCCACCCCGTAGATACTGCTCAGCATTGATGAGATCCCCTCTCAGCCTTCTCCTCTCCGGGCTGAACAGCCCCACGGCTCTCGGCCTTCCCTCACAAGGGAGATGCTCCAGTCCCTGAGCATCTTCGTAGCCTCCGCTGGACTCTCTCCAGCAGTTCCCTGTCTTTCTTGAGCTGGGGGGCCACACCTGGACACAGTGCTCCAGATGTGGCCTCACCAGGGCAGAGCAGAGGGGGAGGATGATACCCTCGACCTGCTGGCCACAGTCTTTTTAACGCACCCCAGGAGACCATTGGCCTTTTTGGCCACAGGGGCACACTGCTGGCTCATGGGCGACTTCTTGTCCACCAGGACTCCCAGGTCCCTCTCTGCAGAGCTGCTTTCCAGCAGGTCAGCCCTTCCCTCACGTGGTTTCCCCCGTCTGTAGCTCCTGAGCCCTGGCAGATGCCCCGCTGGCCCTGCAGACACGGACCCGGGCTGCGTCGGGGGGGACTGGGCTGTCATCGCAGCAGATTGCAGGAATGGGACTGGATGCAGTGCCTTTCTCCCCAGAGCGCCACATTTTTACTGTTCGCCCTGCTTTTCTGAGCTCTGTCCCTGGCTGGCAGCAGTCCCTGCACCCTCATTTTGCTTAATATCTGCTGGGAGCGCAGCATCCTGCGCCTCCTTTCAACTGTGGCAAAGGGGCTGCACGGGACCTGGCAGCCTGTGTGTCCCTACGGCGATTCACACAGACGGCAGGTCCTGCTCTCCCATGTCTGTCCGTCCAGCCACCCAAAAGCTCTTGAAAAGGTTTGCATGAATGAGCTGATCGAGCTTTGTTTCTGCTCCCATGGTTTGCCCTTTACCCTTTGGCCTTTGCCCAGCTCCGTGGCCAGGGGAGCCAGGGTTTGGCCACAGATCACTGCACAGCTGGCCAGATGCTCTCACAGAGGCACAATGAGCCGTGGCGGGGGCTCGCAGCTCCTCCCGCTCCCCGCTCCCGGGCACTGGCATGCTTGGTGAAACACCCAACACAGCATTTTTCTCCTGCTGCAAGGATGTCTTCCGTGGGGGTCCTGTGCGTGGGCGGCGCGCAATGCCACCCCAGTGCCAGGGGAGATGGACGCTGCTGCCCACCGCGTTCCTGGTGCTGCTCCCCGTCTCCGTCCTGCTTTCCTCCCACTGTGCCTGTGCTGGTGCAGCACACCCGGGGCCGTGCCAGCCCTGGCCTTCACTCCTTGCTGTGAGCCCTTGGCGCCGGGATGGATCCAGCAGCTCTCCGCCAGCGTGAGGACATGGTGCCTGCGCTGCTGGTGCAGCCTGGCCCTGAGGGGACATTTGCGTGTGTCACTCGGCTCACGTGCGGCTGCAGGCAGAGAAGAGCTGTCCTCTTAGGTCGGGCTTCATCTAGGACCTTTACGTTGCAGGCTGGGGAGACTCCGGGGTCTCGGTCTGCCTGCAGTGTCTCCAGTTGCAGGATCACTCTCTCGATGCTTTTCCCGTGCCCCTCGCGCCGCTGAGCCATGTCCGGCTGGGGCACTGGCCAGTGCCGAGGAGCTGCCACGTCCTGTGGGTGGGCACTGGCAAACGCCCGCGACTGTCCGCTTGTGGGAAGGCAGCCAAGAGCCTGCGAAGGCGCTCCTGAGGGCCCTCTCCGCTCCCACATATATCCCGAGGCAGAAACAGCCTCCTCTCCCGTTTCTTGCCCGTTGTGTAGCCAGCTGGGACTCAGTCCCGTGCAAGTGATGCCACTTTCCTGGCTCGTGGGTACGGCACAGATCCAACGGCATCTAGATCGCAGCGACAGCCCGGGCGACACGTGCAAATTTGGGTACGTGCACAGCAGCTTGCTCGTGCCCGTGCGCGCACGCCTGCCTGCGGGCTGCAGCACCGCCGACAACAGGGTCTGGAGGAGATGGTTCTGTGCTGAGTAACATAGTAGTGGAAAAAGTTGACAGAGGGAGCATGACACCAGGAGCTATTTGTTCAATCAATGATTTACCATATGTGTACACTGTACTAAAGGCTTGTAAACATACTTTAATGGCCAGCTGTAAATCCAGGCAGTAGCAGTGCCAGCTTCATCTCCATCGGATGTGTTTTAGGAACAGCCGTGTAAGGGCTCTGAATCACTGTGTTATAGGCTCTGTCAGCTCTGCAATTGTGCGTGTAAATCAAAGAGCCAATGTCCTCAGGTCAAAATTATTTGAATGTCAGGAAAGATTTTATGACCAGCAGCTTTTCCTTTTCTGGGTTCCCCTGCAGTTTCTCGTCGTCCACAAACGGCATCTCCAGAACACTGGATTTCCGTCCCAGTGCCCCAAGTGCGTGGCTGTGTTTTCACTGACTATGTTGGAAGTCTCTTTTGTTAATCACTGAAGCAAAGCGTCATTAGTGAGAAGTGCAGAGTGTACACAAAGAGGAACTTGCCAAATTACTAATAAGCAGAAACTCCATCCATCTTAATGAGACAGGGTTAAGAAAATAGCAACCTAGAATATACACAATGGAGCCTTTCCACACTGTTTATTCACGTTAGGAAGTTGGTCAGAACTCCATCTCTGGTGCTGCTTGGAGATTGTCGCGTGGTTTCCAAACCACAGGCTGCTTATGCTCTTGCAGATCATTAAGCATGAGAAAGATAAATAAATAAGTGGATGGATGGATGGCTCAAAAAATTATTAGAGGGATGATAAATGTCTGGCCTCCAAACAAGTGAAACAACCACACAACTAAATACTGGTTGCAGGCTCTCTTCACCGCTAAGCAAGTCAGGTTTGCGCCAGGCAGTGGATGAAGAGAACGCTTGTGGCAGCGCCAGGAATCCTCCCTGCGCGCCGGGGATGGGATGCCGCATGGTGCTGGTGGCACGGTGCCAGTATGGTGGTGCCTACCTCGAGCAGCTCCTGCAGTGCTGCCGCACCACCAGGTCCGGCTGCGCTCGGGACACCTGCACCAGAGCCACCCGCACTGGGGAGAGGACTTCATTTGCGGAAAGTCAGGGAAAAAATACAAACCCCTTTATTTTCTGGGTTTTGTTATGGAGGCTCCAAAGAAGAACTCTGAGAAGCCCCAGCGAAGGGCTCAGCTTTCCTTCAAGGCCGAGAGACCCGGAGAGCTCCCAGACCCCCCGCATAATTCATGTACTCACCCGGTGACTGACGCGTGTGCCTGTTAAGGAGCTTGTGGTCCCCCTGGGGTTTGGCGTTCCAGGTCTGCGGGACGGACGGAAGAGCCACCATGGGCTGGTCCCTCTGTGATTGCTGCTGGTGTTGCAGGTTTTGGCGCTGGAGAGGACCCCTCCACGGAGCACTGCGGGGAGCTGCTGCCCAATCGCCGCGTGCAGAGCAGATCTGGGCGATCTCTGGTGATCTCGGGGTGCGGCAGGTTGGTTCCTTGGAGAGAAGGTTGCCGCAGAGCGGGAAGCGTGAGGAGATGTTTCCTTGTGGTGGCAGGTCCCCAGCTCCCTTCTCTCGGGGTCCTCGCCAAAGCAGCCGAGGGTCCCTGCATGCTCCATCCCCGCGGGGCTGCTCCTGGGCTGAGGCCCCCATCGATCGCATCGGCGCGGCAGTGAGATTTATAGCTCCCCAGTGAGTTGCAGCCCTTCCCCAGGTTACTCCGGCAGCACAAAAGGGGTTTGCACCCACTCCGAGGTGCCTGCACACCTGCGCTCCACAGCCACGTTTTTCTTTGTTGGGTAAGAAATGACTTGCAGCACATTTCACGTACACAGCTCAGCCCCTGGCGATTTTATTGAACGCCAGCATTTGCTGTTTGTTATTCAGACGAACTTTATGTATGCTACAGACCCTCTCAGCAGCCTGCACCTGGTCCAGGGCAAGGCTGAGCCTCACAGAGAAGAATGTGCTGTAATGCAGCAAGTTATTACAGGATAAATATTTATAAGCCCCTGTAAATATTTGCCATCAGTTCCCTCCTGGGACTAGGGGCAGACGGTCAGAGTTTCAGCAGTGCTGAAGGCATTAGCTGTTGTAGTTCTTTATGTGCTATCTCAGCTAGTAAACCCTCTGTTGATTGTGCTTAGTTATAGCATTTAATGGTGCTAATTTCACACTAACGGGAGACATCGGCCGGAATAGTTGCGTGCCTTGGTCCTGCCCCGGCCGTGGGACGGCTCTTGGTGTCAGTGTCCTCTGCAGCCCGGGCAGTGCCGGGCACCAGGCTGGGGCGGCTGAAGGGGTCCCCACGCCTGCAGACCGCCCCCGTGCAGATTCCCATGCCGCGGGGCGAGGGAGCGTTCCTGGCTGCATTGGTGTTATTGGAACCTGGGAGCTCTCTGCTGAGAAAACCAGAAAACAAACACGGCAAAACTAACATCCTCCTGGGCAGGCTGACCCCGGCGGGGGCTATCGCCTCTCAGCTGCCCGAGGGGGTGTCTAATCTAAAGCAAATATTCCCTGGGGGTGTGCAGGGGCTGTCCTGCTGCAGGAGGTGGCGTGGGAGCCGCTCACCACTGCAGGGCTGGCACGGTGGGCTCCCCGTGTGGGGATGTGGTGGGTGGGCTGCCCCGTCCAGCGTTTTCCGTCCCCTCCTCGGTGGGGACACGGGCACCGCGGGGCAGCGTGAGCCCTGGCGCCGAGCAGCTGCATGTGGTTTTCGTGTGGCCCCGCTCGGGGCAGGGATGGCGGATGCCTGTGGCCGGCCAGGCTCAGCTCCCCCATCGCTGCCGCCTCTGTTGGGGCTGAGACGGGGCTCGCGCAGCGGTGGGAAACCGGGGAAGAAATGCCAGGGCAGGCAAGGCCATGACTCCTCCATGCCCTCAAACGCAGCAGTAAAACAATGGGCCCTGGGCAATAGTGCTTGCCGGATTGTTGCATGGGACTATTTGGGGGCTCCACTTTGCTGCTCATGCACGAAAGCCAGTCATTTGGCAAAAATCAGCTCAGTTAGCAGCCATTGTTCGTAAAGAGCCCGGGGCTGAATGGGCTCAGGGCTAATATATTCTATTATCCCACGCCTGCCTGTTTCCCCGGGGTGGCGTGGAGGGAAACACACATTCCAGTACCGGGCGGCTGGGGCAGAGCGCGTCCCGCAGCACTGCCCCGTGGGCAATGCGGCCGGGGAGGCCGGGATGGGGCAGGAGGGCACTGCTGTGAACTGGCGAGATGGGTGTCAAGGGCGTGGGGGCACACCAGCCTCCGGCCACCCCTTCGACGCTGAGCGCCCGCCACGGGTGGACGTGGAGGAGAGCAGTCATGGCGAGCAGAGGAAGCTGCGGTGGGGGCAGAGCGCGTGGTCCCGCAGGGTGCGGGGATGGACAATGGAGCCAGAAACAAGCGCGGTTAATTGGGCTGAGCTTTTCAGAGAGGACGGCGGATAGCCGAAATCGTGCATGTTGCAAAGCATCTCATTATTGAATAAGAATATGTCAGCCCCGGTGGGAGAGGCAGCAATAAATGGCTATAAAGCAAAGTTAAATGATGACATTAGAGACTGTGCAGAGATTTAAGAAGCAGTGGGCTACATAATTATGAATGGAAATGGCTGCACAGGCTTCACTCGGCAAAGTTAATGCCCAATTTGGAAGAGGTTTGTTGGAAGAGCAGCCTTTCTTGGGCAGCGGCTATTTAAGGGGACTTATACTGTGTATTAAGCAATTTAGTGGTCTAGGCCAGAGCTGTTGGCTTTTTGGATTTTTTCTTTTTTTTTTTCCATCTTATTTTTTTAAAGAAAATAAGTTTTTCTTGGCAATTCTACTTCAGTTTACAATTCACTCCTAGATGGCTGTACAGGTGCTGCTGCTGTGAACATGGGTATCAAATCCAGAAGAGAAGGGAGACCTTCCCTGGGCCGAATTCAAGAACTGCCCGTGCTTCGAGTGGGGATGGACTTCGCAGCCAAGGCATGCCGCCTTGTAGCTTTCCCGCTTGGACCGCAGGCACTGAACTGTGGCACGCAGCCCTTCCAGCTCAGTGACTACTGTACGGCGTGTCAGGGCTGCCGCCAGCCCCCTAATCAGTGTGGGATACTCCGGGTGCGTGGTGGCACACATCTCTGGAGTGACCATGCTAGGTCACCTTGCTCCACGCGGTATTTGCTGAGCTGAAGGTAACCAGAACCCTGACGGTAGTTTTAGCGCAGTGTTACTGCTGTTGCCTTTGGAGAGCTCCCCAACTTTCCCACAAGAGTTTCCTAACCCCCCTCCTGCCTGCCTCCCTATGATGCTTCCATCACACTGCTCAGCCTGGAGTAGAAAGATTACAGCAATGCCAAATAGAGCACGCCCACTTCCACTCTGAAAACGAAGTTCTGAGACTTTCTTATGATCTTGCAATGGAAAATGGAGAGTTACTTGCACAATTTGGTTCTCAGTGCCGCAGATGAGCAGGGGTCACGTTCTGCTCCAGAGACTCGTACCTGAGGATGTTACACTTGGGTGCAAATAAAGATTCTTGAGAGAAATTCATCCCAACAGCCCTTGGGCAGACCAGTGCCCTGGTTGTGTACCACACTATAGCATGCCTCTGGGGCACTGCGGTATTTTCTACATGCTCAAAACCGAGCTGTTTCAGTGTTTCTAAGCTGATTTTGGTAAAAGCAAATCATAGGCTGCCAGAATTTCTCAAGGGATGAGAAACCCATTTTGTAGCTGTTTCTTGGTGCAAACAGTGATCGGCGCTTTGCTACCGTTTCCTGAGCCCAAGCAGCAGGAGAGGCCCTGCTCCATCCAACTGCCCCTTTCATTCAGCTCCGGGCACCTTATGGTGAGGATTTCTCTTGTTTACTGCTGAATTCTCCACCCCATTAGCGGTGCTAACTGGCTTCTCTCTCCTGTTGGCCCTCAGGTGAAAGTGGCTCTTTCACGCTTCCAGGCTGCAGAGCCTCTTCCATTTACCTCTCAATGAGGTGTAGTTCCTGTATTAAACGGCACGAGCTGTTTATGCAGAAGGCAGCAGCAGTAACGGGAGCTTTGTACGACTCCGGAGGAGGGAGCTCAGGAGAGCTGCCTCGGATGCGGCCGCGCGGGCAAACAGGGGGCAGAGCTGCTCGATGGCCACATCTTGTGCACATGGGGACCGAGACAGCTCCTTCTGCCTGGCTGGCGCCGAGGGGCACCCTGCTCTGCCCACCGAGCAGCTGTAGGATGGCCCGCCTGCCCTGCCCACGGCCCTCAACGTGTCCCGCTCCCCCCTTTGGAGGGCAGCGAGTCTCTGCAGGCCCTCAGGAGCGCAGCAGCCTGTGCCTGTGCCCGCTGCAGGGAACGGCGCTGGCATGTGCTCCCGCCCTGTCTCCCCAGCACAGCCGTGCCGTGCCAAGGGTCCCGCACTGGTCTCCGAGTGGGGTGCAGAGCGGTGGCTGCAAGCCCTCTGGCTTGCTGTGGCCCAGCTCCTGCTCCGAGAAGCTGCCAGCAGCAGTCCCTCTGCGGAGCGCCGGAGCTGCGGCAGGCAGCGC